CTGCCGGTGACGTAGCCACGAAGAGAGTGGGCCAAGAGACGGTACGACAGAGTAAGTCGGTAGCTGGTTGTAAGGGTCGTAATGACTGGGCATAGAAGCAGGAGGGACATGGCCGTAGGCGTGGGCGGGATGCCATGCGAGCTTTGAGTACGTGAAGGAAGTAAGCCCCAGCCCCAGCCGCGCAGTAGAAACACCCCCGGCACTCGCGCTCACGATGAGCGCGGAGTGGACCAAGAGTCAAGAGGAACCGCCCGGGAATGCGCGCGGACTAACATGAGTCGCACGGCGCATTAGTGGACGTGAAAGCTCGCGGTGGGTGGACATGTAGTCGTACCAGAGCGGGAAGTGACATCGGCAGGTCGTGCGCCAAGGGTGACGTCAGTGACGCTTTGCGGCTGGCCGTCAGGACCGGTCGAGAAAGTGTTTGAGATAGAATTGGGGTCCGACCGGCCCTGCCCTTAGCTTTTTATGGGTTGAGGGACTTTTTACGCACTCGTAGCCCATTCAGCCCGCAAACCCGAAATCAACTCAGCACACGTGTGTGGCGGCACCAAGACCACTTACAAATTCCACTCCGCACAAGCCCCGTTAACCTTCGGTTCCACATCACCCGACCGGACAGCGACAGAAACACCCACATTAACTTGGGCATATGATAGGCACAATAACCGGTGGCTTAACCGGTGGCTTTGATAATAGCTTTAAGGAGGAATTTCGGAACTATAATAATTAATTTTTGCGGCTTCTGGTTCGTGTGGTGGGTAGTTAATGACATTGAAATTTAGCCCATAAAACTTGTTGTTCTGATTCCCTGTCCGTCGTCATATTGTTCGAATAAGTTTTTGTTGTTGATCTGTTGGACTTTATGAATGTAAGAAATCAATTCGGTTTGGCATGACGTTTCTGGGTGTTAAGTGAATGTACATCCTTGATCGAGTGTATGGCGATCTGAAATCAGGGTTGTTGAAGCTTGGATTCGTTTGGAGCTTCGAACGGTGGCGAAATTTTAATGGCGAGAGGGGTGAAGATATCTGGCGATAAATGTCAGGGGGCAGCGTGGGGGTTCCTGGCCTCAATGATAATCGATCGGCCAGGACCAGTGGTGTCTATGACAATGTTCAAAAATCCTCTTTGTGACATTCTTCGATACGGTGCTGACAACGCGTTCCGAGTGCGTATCAACAAGGCTGGCTGGTTGGAGTTTTTGAGAGGCGATCCCAATAGCTCAGTGCTCCCGTGTGTGGATGTTGCCCAGCTTATGGTCGTACTGGACCGAGGTCAGTCGGTCGAGCTGACAACACTTGATATCAGGAACAAGACAGGTGATCGCGCTAAACGAATCGTACGTGTTGTGAAGGCTGATAGAGGCGAAGAGGCAGAGGCAGAGGCAGAAGAGGAGTGTATATACACCATTTACTTCGACCGCTATTCACCTCTACAAGACGCGCAACCCAACCAACCACAACCCTCGAAGCCCAAAAACAGGAGGAGTCTCGCCAAGAAACTATGGGCCCGAGTTCGCACCAGCATGCGTTCCAACAGGGGTGCTGGTGTCGACTGAATCGCCCCTTAAGACAAACCCGTTCAAATGTGGTACCTTTTGTGCGACGCCTCTTGTGCGACGCCTCGTTTTCTGCTTAGTATAAATCAGTAACAGACGGGCTGGTGGGTTCTCACTACTGAGAGCATTCACGTACCCAGTTCAGAGTCATGCAACCTCAATAAGAGCCCTTTGGACTGCTTCTTCCGGGCGGCTTCGGGCGTAGCGGCAGCGGGGTGCGTGGAGTGCTCGACGAACATTCAAATCGGCCGGGAACCCAGCGCTGGCAGGAACCTGGCGCTGGTGGGAACCCAGCGCTGGCAGGAACGTGGCGCTGGTGGGAACCTGGCGCTGGCAGGAACCTGGCGCTGGTAGGAACCCAGCGCTGACTGGAACCTTACGCCGGTGCAGTGGGAAAATTTTTATGACGAGGGGGGTGAAGAGTTCTGGTGATGACAGCTTGGCTGCATGGGGGTTCCTGGGTGCAATCATCATAGCGGACCCAGCGCCAAGAGTCACTGTTTCAATGACCGATGCACGCCTGCGTAACTTGTTGCGGTATAGCTCAGACAGGAGATTCTTATTGCGCGTTAGGACGGATGGGTCAGTGGAGTTCTTGAGAGGCAGCGGCAAGGACCCAGTCGTCGCGTCAGTGAATGTACGCGACTTTATGGTCCCTCTATACAGAGGCCAGCCAGTCGACGTGACCGCACTTGACATCAAGAACACCAATGGCCACTGGGCCGATCAAATAGCTTGGGTTCCTGAGGGAAGAGGAGCGGGCGGCAAACATGTTTACCACATTTACTTCCGACAGCCGCAATCACGGCCGCCACCGCAGTCGCAACAGCAGCAGTCGGACGGGTGGAGGTCGAGTCTCGCCAACGCATGGGATACTGTGTGCTCGAGCGTGCAAGCGGCCATACCCAGACCGAATACACGTCCAAGCACGCGTACAAGCGGCGGTGTTGAGTGCGCCTACCAGCGGCTTTGAACGAGAAAATTACTAGTACTTGGCTAGCTTTTTTTTTAAACGAATCTCGTCAACAGACGACTTCCATTGCGGCGTAGGCCTGATGTGGGCGTGATGAACACAGGGTCGATTAATGCTGGAGTTAGTTACTCCTCACTGGACGCAAACGGCATGCGCTACTTAACCTAGGTTTGGTGTGTGGCACCATGTGTGGGATCACATCCACCTCACTATGGCCCCGGAAACCAGAAGCAAAAATTTGAATGACGAGAGCAGCGCGGAGTGTTGACAGGTCCAAGGCGTGGGGATTATTGGGCGCAGTCATCATTGTCTGGCCAGAAAGAACGATGCGACTTGAATTAGCCCGAGGGGCCCTTTTTCGCCTGTTGCAATACGCTCGGGATTCTAGGTTTATTCTGCGCGTCCACAAGAATGGTTTTGTGCGTATCGAGGGCGACCGTCGTGAGGATGTGGTAGTGCCGACGCCGACGATAACTGCTGAAGAGCTTGTGGTCTCGTTGGAGCGAGGCAAGACAGTAGACCTGTCCACACTTGACATGAAAACGACGTGCGGCCTTCAGGCAGTGAGTATCGTCCGTGTCCCGAGGAGGGAGAGGGAATGGAGCGACGGTCTTTACAAAATCGAATTCCAGCGGCCGGGCCAGGCCGAGCAAGAAAGAGAGTGGAGTGGAGTGAGGAAGAGTCTCGTTACGACTTGGAGAAAGGTGTGCGCGAGCATGCGCTCAACAGAAAACATCGAAGTCGGCTTGCACCACCTTGATTCCTTTCTAATGTGCCACCCTTACAATAACCTAGACCCAAATGTAGTGAACTGCGTTACGGACGACTCCGCATATGCCAGCAGACAAACCTGAACACTCCTGATCCAGATTTCGTCGAAGAAGATTTCCCGGACTCTATGACCGGACAAGACCGAACGGTCGACAGAGAGCAGAAAACCAGCGTACGCCCTAGCAGCCAAACCTCCTCTGCATTTGGTGGGTGAAATGCTTCCGACCTTCGCCTGCGCGATTTCCATAGAGCTTGTCCATAAGCTCCTTCGCATTCGTCTAAAGGAGCTCTCCAACATCACTCTATAGCAAGGACCTGTTATTCGGGTGGGCTGATGTCACAGGAGCTGGTATGTTGTTATCTGGTATGGTCGAGGCACTGAAGAGATGTGGACGCTGGTTTCCCGGAGAACCGACTGTGCATCTCAGAAAGGCTGACTCATTTTTACACTTAATTAAACACGATCCAAATCCGCCCAACTTACCGCTTCAACACCGTCCACAACTTTGTCAGACCAAAGACTAGGTCACCGCAGACTGTACTTGTATCGTAATGGTAGAACCTCAGCTTCAGGACCTGAAGGTCCTCAGATCGATTCGGCTTATTCGCGTTGAGCTGCTGCTTTCCGTACCCAAGCGAAACAGGGCCCTACGGATAAGACCGTCACGGCGTCTCATACACAGCACCGCACTCGCACAACATTCCACCGATGAAGACGGAATCGTGAAACGTAACAACTCAGGAGATCCGCCGCCTCTCGACAACCGTGGGGATCGAGTTCCCAGGTCGCCTGATCGCGCCGAGGTTTCGCGGGCGCCGAACCGAGGCGAAGCCGTCCTCCTGAGTGCGCTTGACATCAGGAACATTCACGGCCACCGGGCAGAGAGGATCTCCAGCTCGGAGCTCTTCAGGCACATGAAGAAGGTGTTCACAACTGGAGTGTTCACGAACGAATGTTCACGAACGAATGTTCACGAATGAACGTTCACGAACGAGGTGTTCGCAAGCAGCCCAGGCCATATTTTGGGATACCACTTACGGAAATGCGGGGATGGGAAAAGCGTTACGGCAGGGCGTGCAGAATATTACCCATAAGCAGGTCACTCGGAGGTTGTAGCCATTAAAAATTAATGGCGAGGGGAGTGAAGAGTTTTGGTGGCGAGAAGGGGTTCACAACGTGGGGGCTTCTGGGCTCAGTCATCATTGACAGGCCAGAACAGATGATTGTCGTGGCGTTGTCCGACGTTTCGCTGTGCAACATGTTCCAGTACGGTTCGGACGGCAGAGTCCAAGTGCGCATGGACACACACGGTTTTGGTCGTATCAGAGCACCTTTATCATCGAATGCGTTGTACCATACGCAAGCTCTAGACCGAGATGGCACCGTCGATTTGAGCACGCTTGACATCACGAATAGTCACGGTCATCGCGCGGAGAAAATCGTCCGTGTTGCGACCCTGGATGTAGGAGAAGGAGAGGAGTGCGTGTACAAGATTTATTTCTTAGAGCCAGCGCCAGAATGGAGGGCGACACTCGCCAGGGCATGGACAAGAATGTTAAACAAGCGCCGAAACACTGAAGCGTCTCCATCCCAAACGTCTCCTCCATCATCCAACAACAAATGAGTACCTGGCTGGTGAGTACCTGGCTGGTGAGTACCTGGCTGGTGAATACCTAGCTTGCTGCGCCTTTTACGACGAGACATTTCCGCCGAAGCCCTAACTGGTTCTTTTCATGCGCTCCTTTATTTCCTGAAAAGACTAGCAATACCTCCACGACCTATCAATACCTTCACGACCTAGCAATACCTCCACGACCTAGCAATACGTGTTGGTCTGACCAGTTTGATCATAAACGTACCTGAAGAGTTAACTGTAGGGCTATATCTCGTTTGGTAGGTGGTATACTTTTGTGTATATAAGCTTGTACGGCAGCCAAATTTGAGTGTGCGGTATCCACTGTAACCATATCCATTAACTCCTTCGCAATCACTTGGAGAATAAGACTGATGCCCTCCAGAAACACTTCATTTTGCACCCGGGGCAAAAAGGACTTGTCAATCGCGTTTTGTACACTATCCGGCACGTAATTAAGGTCATACGGCCGAATCTCGTCAGTGACAGAAGTGCCGAACAGGTATACAACTCGTTGCAAAACTGTATGCAAAGGCTGTAACATCTATGGAAGAAAACCGATGATGGATAAGTCAATTCACTGCGGTAAGTCCACTAGGTGTGTCCACTACGTGTGTCCACTACGTGTGTCCACTACGTGTGTCCACTACGTGTGTCCACTACGTGTGTCCACTACGTGTGTCCACTACGTGTGTCCACTACGTGTGTCCACTACGTGTGTCCACTACGTGTGTCCACTACGTGTGTCCACTACGTGTGTCCACTAGGTGTGTACTTACATTATCGGTTACGATGGGTTTGAAATCGGATATAGCCGTGTACACGTAGGCGATGGAGTTGAGCAGCACAATGGAAGTCGACAACTGTAGGCGAAATAGGTCACACCACTGTGTTGTGTGTGTGTCTGTGTTGTGTGTCTGTCTGTGTAATAGGTTACGGAGACGGGTTCGAAGGCGTCGGTCATTGCGTTCCATTGCGTTTTAAGTTCATTTGCGGTGGTTTCGACGATGCCTTGTTTGAGGACGACGTCTAAGTATTGTTCGCGGGCGACCGGGTCCGGGAGGAGGACGAGCACTCGGTCGATGACTTCTTGTGTAAGGGCGACGGCTCGAGTAGCGAGGACGTCCACCACCTGACCACCCACCGGGACGACCTCGCCCCGTTGTTTCCGGACGCCGGCGGCCGCCAGCTCTCCGTCATGTCGCGCCATAGCCAACAACTCATCCTGACTGACGCAGTCCGTCCAAGCCGCAGCTACACCACGCAATACCAACTGTCTCCAATCTCCCGACGCCGCTGGCGCAGCCATCCCCATCACCCCCACAACAAACTGACGAGCCCTCTGCGTCCACTCCAAACTTCGATCACGATACGAAAAGTAACGAACAAATAACTCCTTCAACCCGAACACAACCAACAACTCCCCCACTTCACGCGTCACTTCCCTCTCCCCCGTCTCAGACCCCGCCCCCGTCTTCTCTGCCCCTGCCATCTCGGTCCCATCCCCAACTGTCTCAGACCCCGCCCCTGGCTTCTCGGCCCCTGCCATCTCGGCCCCTGCCATCTCGGCCCCTGCTCCAGCCGTCTCCGTCCCAGCCCCTTGTTGCAAGTTCACATACGCCTCCCAACATCTGTATATAGCCGCACCCGTATTGCACGCTTCCGTATCCAACCATTTAACGTTGGGAGGAGACGCAGTCTTCCACTTGTCCAATTTGAACCAGACCGAGTGAGCCACCGCCATGAACTGCTCTTCGTTGACACCTTTGCCGCTGATCTCGTCCAACTCCCGGTCGACTTGTAACAGGGACACACAAGTGTGGAAATTCTGCTGACTCGCCATCACGTCCTGACTAATGAGCAGCTTACACGACTCGACCAATGCTGTCACGTACTCCCGAATACAATTTTGAAAGCCCTAAAGAAGTTTGAAGCGGTCAGGCCCCGGATCGAATCGCACTTACGGGCAAGGACTTGATTTCTGTCACGGCCGCCAAAACTTCCTTCATAGTAATTAAAGCCTCTTGATACGATCGGCACTTGATCTGTTGCTCGGAAGTGGCAACTAGTTTTATAATATCTTCCGTCTTTTCTCCCAGCTCGATTTTGATACAGCAGTCCATGTACTCTTGCAGTTCGTTGCAAACCAGATGTCCGGCTACGTAAGGATAAATTTTGGTGTGGACCAATTCTTGAAATACTCCACAGTCCTTCTGGGATTTCTCATCAAGAACGTTGATCTTCCTTGCTAGCTGCGTCTGGATATTCTCTTGTTTTGCTTTCAACTGCTGCTCAAGTGTCTCCAACATTTCCTCCAACTCCTCTTCCGTCTTGTCCAATAGAGGCTCATGCCAGACACTTAAAGCTTTAATTTCATCAATCATATATTTATCCCGTTTATTTCCACGCTGCCATAGTGCCGTTTGAATCGTTTGTGGGGTGAAAGACACGAGGACAGAAAGACACGAGGGCGGGAAAGGGAAGTTGAAAAAGAGAAGAACGTCTGTCTTCCTTAGTTTTCATGGAAATAAAAATGTTTTCGAGTAGTCAGTTTAGCGCCGCCAGCCAGCTTGAATTTTTGTGCAAGGTCTTTCTCGTCAATTCGTTTGTACGGTCGAAGTTCATTTTTAATTTTAATGGTGTTTCCAGCGAAGTTCACTGACTGGTGAAATTCGTAGAGTTTCCTCAAGAACCACAAACACCTGAGATAGATCAAGATTAGGTCTCTGTGCTCGTAGCTCTGAATCGCTACAGGTATCATACAGACCGGATAAGCTCGTAGTTCCCTGGAAAGAGGTTCGTTCATATGAACCTGAATTAATAGGAAGAGACTACGGGAGTTACTGTCTTGGAATATTGGTTCATTATTATCATTGTCTTCAGGCGTCATTGGTGGAGTCTCCTGAATCTCTACTCCTAGAGAATATCTTTGTTGCCGAACCAAGTTCCGCTTGGTAGTAGATTTCACCACCAATTTGGTCAACCATGGTGATACCCCATCCTCTAATGTCCACGAATTTAATACACCAGCCACATCTTCTTCTGAACCGTAACAATAGTCCAAGTCCACTTCTTCGTGAGCCGCTAAAGATACACTTTCATAATCTTCGTTAGTCACCGAAAACTCATACGGCAATCCTTCTTGTAATATGCTATAAAAGTCGGCAAACGTCACAGACGCATCCTTTATACTGCGACCTAAAATACACACACAATGTTGTGCACAATGTTGTGCACAGACACACACAGTGTTGTTGCACACACACAGTGTTGCGACTTGTGTGTGATTGGACACTCACCTTTGGATTGGAATATGAGTAGTCGTCCAGTGCTCCAATTCTGTATGACTAGACAGCCGTCGTTGACGGCCCTCCACCAAAAAATGCTGACCTCGTTGCGGAGTGTTGGAAACTTGAGGTAGGGCAGCATCTTCTCAATGAAAATATGCGTATGGGCGATGCTATGTGCGACATCCCGGAATAGACGCATGCTGCTTTCGGGGATTTCAACAGGGTAGTCCACGTTGGTGATTGCGCATGCAAACAAAACCGATCGATGCACACTTAGTTCGCGAATCCATGAGGCAGAATGGATGTGTTTTATTGACAAGATTACGTGCACGTCATCTTCCACGACACTTTCATCACCCCCACCTTCGTCCGCCGGTTCTCGTGTCGTCGGTGTCCGTGTACCCGCCTCCTTATCATAGGTCCGCAATACCGCTTCCACATGTGTCACTATCTTCTCGGATCCACTTAATACCAATTCCCGTTGGGTTATGCGCACCCCTGCTGTGTGGTCGCCGTTCCACCGGATCAAAGTACTCGTGTTCCTCTCCTTCACCCGACTCAGCAAACGAAGCAATGCCGGGCTCGTATCACCACTCGTCGCCCAGTCATCAAACATTTTTTTTATCCACCTACAATGTCATGTACGCCACCTACCCCCTTGCCGACCTCGTCTTACTTCCAGTCCCATCCGCCACCACGATCTACCTCCGCAAAGCCACCCCTAATAACACGTTCACTACTCCATGAGATGTGTTCACTACTCCATGAGATGTGTTCACTACTCCATGAGATGTGTTCACTACTCCATGAGAT